TATATATATATATATATATATATATACAATGGATTAAACATTTGGTTTTGTATTTAATTCACTAACAGAGAAGAAAAAAGATGCTTTTGAGAGGCTACCTGAAGGAGAGAAAGAAAAAATAAGGGCCATCCTTTATATCATGGATAGGTTTTCTATCTCTCAGGAAGCTTATCATGAACTCACCCAACAAGAGTCCTCCCTGCCGAAGACATACTTGGTTGAGTCTTGCCAGAAAGTCATTGATGCCCTGTGGGAAATCAACAAGGACACCAGGAATCTGTCCTGGAGCTGAACTGCCGTTTGAGCTTCTACTGGAAAAAGAAATAAGAGGACATGTAAGAGTATTTTCAAGCTACATAGGAAAAGTAGGGCATGTGTTTGGTTGGTAATTTACAGTAGTCAAACCTAACAGACAATTTTGTTGTTTTTTTAGCTCAAGAATTCAGTTGACAAAGAGCCACTGGTAAAAGTCAAAGTATCAGGGAACGGGGCGAGAATGTCCCATACAAGCTCCCTTTTTGTATTTTCTTTTTCACTTCTGGGCGAAGGTCAACATTTGCTTTCAAGTTCGGGTAACTTTTGGCTTTTAGATGTATTTATTATAAAAATGATCTTCTTTTCTGAACATGGAATGGTTAACAGGTCAAATACTGCAAAAAATGCTTAATATCATTATTTTTAATAGACAGTAACTGCACATACATGTATTCATTCTGTTGCTTTCATTCAGGTTTGTTCCTTAATGTTATTATTTCACAGGAAACCATACTTTGCACTAATTAAGGGGAGTGAAGATTATGAAACCCTTAAGTTGGGATTAAAACTGTCAGATGTGCTATAAATAAGTTTATCGAGCAGGGGTACATGGAAATTGATGGGAAAAAAGTTCGCTTACATTTCCATCTGGGAGGTGACTACAAGGTAAGTAAAATCCATGTAGTTAATATTTCCTGATTTAAGTTAGAAAATATCAAGGCTTAAACGTAACTGTGTTTTTCCTCTCTTGTTTAATAGTTCCTGTTAGTTGCTATGGGCCTGAAAGGGGCAACCTCCAATGATTCTTGCATCTGGTGTTTGATACACAAAAAAGACACTATTAACTTTTAAAACACTACCTGCAATAGTTAATAATCATGTTACTATGTTTCATGTATATAATTATAACAAAAATAACCATTGTGCCTTTATACCTGTAGGTGCAACATGTCTGTGGAATATCACACCTACAGTTCCCATGTTTTTATGTGCGTTAAATCTTTACCAAAATGAAGGCTTTTTCTATGCCGCTGTCAATGCATTCAGTCTAAAGTTTGCACACTTGCAGTTACTTATTTTCTTTCGACCAAGACCCAGATTACAACCTAGAAAGTCAATAAAAAGTATTCATACGACAACGTCTGTTATTTCAGGTTTAAGCGGTCGATATCGGCCTGAGATTAAAATATTTGAATTCAAAGAAAGTCATCCACAGGTATGTTTGTGGCATGACGTACTCAGTAATGTCTTATTTCGAAGGAAAAATTTGCTTTTTACCCAGTGTCATGGAGCCTCTTGTAAAACAACACATTCGAAATTTATAACTATAACAGTAACAATAGAGAAAATGACAACGACAACGATAACGATAAGACTGACGACAAGAATTATAGAAACAAGAAGGATTATAGGATGATAAAGAGAAATGTTTACTTCATATTTTAGAGAAGATAAAACAGCTGGCATATACCCATTTCTTTCCAATTGCATCCAGGATACAAAAAGACTCTTCTCGTTCATTCCGGCTTAATCTGATGTAGATTAACTTACCTTCCCTGTCAAACCAGCGATCTTGGTGCAAATTGGCTAAAATATAATGCGCCAGTAGCGGATGAGGAATCTTAGTGAAAAAACGGAGAAGGGCTTGTTTTTGAAATCGTGGCGCCACAATTGACATGAGCCGTATGGGATTGGAATTGAGAAAGAACGGGTAGAAGATTTTCCATTGTAACAGAAAAATTGATGTAAATCTGGTTTAACCTGATGTAAAGTGATGTACACTAAAAACGAGTGAAACAAGCTTTTGCCAAATTATTTCATCAGAGATCTAAAACCGGAAAATATTCTGGTAACCTCAAATGGCCACCTGAAGCTGTCAGACTTCGGTCTGAGCGAAGTTGTCGCCTTTACAATCACTGAAGTATGTGGAACTTATCCATATATGGCGTCTGAGGTATAAGGCATTGTAGCAGATTACTCAGTAAAGTCTTTGTTCAAATCGCTAGTATTTTTTCTGACTACTTACTTATCTTCTCGTTAGATTTTTAAGAAAGTCGTACTTTCTTCTCCTCCTACTCTGAGGGTAAAATGTATTCCTATAATCTTCTACTAAGGCCAATCTTAACCGAGGCATTGTCAAACGAGACACAACAACTTTCTTGGCAATAAAGGGGTATGTTACCTCTCTGTTTGTCACGAAAAGTTGACAAATTATGATAATAACATTTTGTAATGCCTCACCACCCTCAGTTTCCGACAAAAACAGAGTAGAAGGACCCTCAGCTAGAAGATCCTGATCACGCCCTTGTTAATGCATTGATATTTCAAATTAGGCTCATGCAGTTGATGAATTGAACCTTTTGCCCCACTGGGAAATTAAGTTTGATTAAAAAAATTAACACTTTTTAAAAATCACCAAGATTCCGGTTCAAGAGGAAGAACAAGAAATTCACAGATTAGTAACTGACTCCCTGAGGTGTGTAATCAACAGGATTTACAGTACAGGTTATGTTTTATCCACTCAAAATGCTTTTACATGGAAATGTTCACACATGACGTTAATTTAGTCAAACAAAAATTAGGTTGTAATTTGATCCGGCCAAACAAGATGCTCCACCAACCAAAACTAATTGAATTCACAATAAAAGGTTTGATCATCGAGGTTTGCGGATCACAAAGTTTTTGGATGAACTAAAAGGACCCAATGCACTTTTCCTAGAGAGTATAAACAAATCTCTTAGCAAAGTGCCTCTAAATAAATATTTTTGGCAAACACCGCAGAGGAAATAGTGCAGTTCATTTTTTTAAGGTATTTTAACTTTAACGAAACAAATCTTTTATTTCTCTCCCCTACCCCTTTCCTTATTTTTGACCGTCGACCGCCCCCTTGGTATAAATTTATACCTCTCCTCAGCCTTTCGCTGCCATTAAAATCAAAGATGGCGGCCATACAGGAATGGCTCCGACCTGTGATTGGATGATAAAAATAGTAAACGTTAATAAGTTATAGCTTAACTCCTTGCTCGTGAGTATTGTTTACCGCGTGTCTCGAAGCGGTACAATGAAATATCAATGCTAGTGAAAACACCGATGTATCAAACAAGAAATGTTTACTTACGTAGCGAAGGGAAGGCAGAGCCTTTCTTGCTCAGCGAGGTCGTTCAGCGATATTCCGGCGATGAAAACGTCATCTACTGACTAAACTCATTTAGTCAGTTCAGGCGGACGATCAGAGACTGAAGCCATTCCTGTATTTCACCGCTGACAGGAATAGCTCCGACTCAAACGTTTATTAATTTTTTTTTCAGTAATTTTTTAATAATTTTTAAACAATTTTTAAAAAAAAAATTTTTTAAAAATTTAAAACTAAGAACAGGGAGTTTACAAGTCAACACCAAACGCCTATATTTATAAGCCATTGTCAGCGGCCATTGCGGGGGCCAATGACCATAAGGGCTTGGCTGGACCTACGAGCAGGAATAGGCAAAGCTGTGAAAAATTTGAAAATTTCTTCTGAAAATTTTTTAGGCAAGGTGAGAAATATTTTTGGGAGCCACGGTTTTAGCTAAAAATTTTCAAATTTGAAAAATTGAAGCAGTTTTTTTACAGACGATGCCTGGAAAGTAGTTGGCAAATTAGGTTAGGATGGCTCGTGTACTTTACAGAAAATGTGGTTTATGTTCTACTCATTCTTTCTTAAATTGAAGTGGTATAAATACCTTGTCTAAAACAGTAGTGTGATACAATAGCAAACGAGATGTACTTGTTCCAATACAGCGTCATGTGATGAACAGCCTTCATTAATTTTAGAACAAGTTTTACAAAATCATTTTACTCTTTCTTGTTATGGCCGAAAACTGTTCGAAGATTGGTTGTACCATCACTGCAAACAGTCAAGGTACGTCGACATGATTCAGTGCGAGAGCTACTACTACTGCTTTTTTTGGTTTGGTTTGTTTTTTTTTCCTTTTTTAGGTCTAGGGGAGTTGTTAAAAATTACCAAGCAAAACCAATCCGCGACTTTCTTCCTTTAGGTGTTGTGCAAAAAAAAAGAAGAGCCCGATGAATGGATTTGCTCTTCATGTGAACAATAACCTAGAAAATCAGTTTTCCACGAAAAAAACTCCCTCGATTGTGGCCAAGCCTTATTTCTCCAGCAGATCATGCTGTAAATTAAAAACATTGGTCTCAGCGTCACGCAACATTGCGTGATTTTCCAAACGTGACATGCAGTTGCTGCATTATTTTAAAACTTAGAAACTACATGGCCCTGTAGTAATAAAAGAGGGCTTCATTTGCAAGCACTGTCGACTAAAACCTACTAAATCACTCTTTCAGTTTTTATCTCAGTGTATAAATTATTTAGCCAGAACAGAAAAAAAATTAATGTACGAATGAGTTGGAGCCATTCCTGTCTGCGGTGAAATACACGAATGGCTCCAGTCTCTGGTCGTCCGCCTAAACTGACTAAATGAGTTTTGTCAGCGGATGACTTTTTCATCGCCGGAATATCAATGAACGATCTCGCTGCACAAGATAGACTCTGCCTTCTCTTCGTTAAGTAAGTAGCCATTTCTTGTTTGACTCATCGGTGTTTTTACATTGGTATTTCATTGTTCCGCTTCGAGACACGCGGTTAACAATACTCACGAGCAACGAGTTAAGATATAACTTATTAACTTTTACTATTTTTATCATCCAATCACAGGTCGGAGCCATTCCTGTATTTAGTCGCTAGTATATTCGTTATGAAATTACTTAGCACTCACTCGCCAAAATTACGCCTGCTCTGCAGGCTATAATCTCCTTCGCATCTTCTTTGAACCAAGCATAATCTGAACCATCCGTATGGCCATTGAGGCAATTTCCTTCAATCTAAAAAGGGGTCATCAATAAGAGAAGCGAACTACAAAGGATCCGAGAATGAAGAGAAGGTAAGTCGTGTCTTATCTGGGTTTTCTCTAGCGCTAAGGCCCAGAAAAATTCAATCTTTTTTTACCAATCGTCGTTTGATACTAGCTTCAGTTTATAATTAAAGTCACGTTCGGAAAAGCAATGACTTTGGCCTTCATCGCCTAAAAAACCTCGCGCCGGTTCATCGCTCGAATAACATTTCAAAGTGTTCGTATTCTTCAAGTTATTTCTTGTCCTGTCGTTTGCAATGTTTTATACAGTCGTGGTGTTAATGGAAAAGAAGTTATCTTACGGATTTTGTTTTGCCTACAAAGCTTTCAAATGATAGCGAACGGCGCAAGTTTCTATCTCTTCTCTCTTCAGTCAACTATCACAGAATTTACTTTAAGTATTTTAAAAAGTCGCGCTTTTTCGAAGAAGTGTTGTTTTAGCCTAAGAACGAAGTAGTGACTTTTCCCAAAATTCAAATAAAATGAAATTGAGTCAGCGATGTCCATGTTTACATTAAGTCTGACGCGGCCATTTGATTTTGGCAATATTGTCATGTGAGAACCCGTCAAACATCTGAGAATTAAATTACGGATCGTAAATGTGTGGTGCAAACAAACTCTCAGGTGAAGTGGAGTTAGTTCTACTGCGGAATGAATGAATTTCATTGTTAAGTCATGGTACTTTTCAGCGCTATGTTTTCATGTTATCTACTCGATTCGTTCGAACTTCAGGAAATGGTTTCAACTGTCTCACAAAACATGGAGCCACTTTCTCTTCGCTCAACATCTCGAGGCGTACGTGATGCTCGGGTTATGATGAACATGCCTGCGATAAGATATTTTTTTCCTAATGCTGGAAACTGAAAAATTAATCTCTGAAATCGATATTGATCACATTTTGCAAGAAGCGTCTGAGCTGTGATCGTGTAATTAAACGGGATCTTGGCAATTTGAGCTCACAAGCACGCTAGTAAGCACATGGTTAGAGTAAATAATTGTTGTTTACATTTTTGGGAGCCGTTTTTGAGAGTCCGTTTCTGTAATCTTCCTGGATATTTTCTGTTGAATTCATTGAGGTACAGTCTCGGAATTTCATAAGTGATTATGAACGATAAATTCGTATCGGCACCATAATTTAGGGAGGTTTTGTTAACACATTATCAGTTTACAATTTGTGTACCATTTCTGTAACCCGCTTGGATATTTTCTTTTGAATTAATCGAGTCACACTCTCGGAATCCGTATATGTAGCACAAGTTAAGCACATTTTAAACTTTGCTAATGATTTTAGGAAACTATACTTAATTGACTCTCGATAAATTGGCCTGCCATAACGCCTTTATTATTTAATTATTTTGTAGCTCCAAAAGCTCGGCTTATGACTCTGGAGGAACTGAACTTGATATATTTGATACACAAGGCAGTCTTCAAGGAGGAAGGTTAGAATAAAATTACATTTACGACCCTATATTGCACCCGGTTCACATATGTAGACAATCACTTAAAAGATACCTATTAAAGTTGTATTCAGAAGCAAACTCAAGTAGGTAATAGTCTTCTGCCTTATTTTTATAGTAAGGGATTTCTATCTAATAGATGTAAAATATATCCATCCTTTAATTTCCCCTTTAACCTGCCTGCAAATAATTAAATTTTATGTTTTAATTCAAGTGTAAGAAAACAAAACAGAAGTGTTGCAGAGTTTTCTTTCCAGACTGAATTCAGGTGAAAACATCAGTAAACTAGTTGATGTCATATGCTTCTCCTGAATCTTTAATTTTATTGCTTTGGTTTTTCCCACAAAGCTTCTTTTATATCTCTGTGTACCAGCTAATGATTAAAATCTCAGTGATTAGATGCCGCATTTTAGTAGTTGTTTTTAAATTCCATCGATAAGTTTTTGGCTTTTACTATTTTAAAATTCATGAATGGCATTCTCTTTTCATCTATGTAAAGATATATCACATATTTCTTAAACTAAAATCTGAATCATGAAGTTAACTTAATTTTAATGAGTTTGAAACTTCATTGTACATAAGAACACTTTACTGGAGTATGTTACATTTATTCGCTGTCTTTCTGGTACATATGATTACATAACCCTGTAACTTTCAAGATTTCATTAGTAATTCTCCTTACTTTCTGCCAAACAATTTATGTGCTGTTAGGTTGGAGAATTTGGAATTGGATCAACTAATTATCCATTCTTTATTCTCATTACTTGTCTGTTTGATATTGTACTGATGGTGTAAGGAGAAATTCTGTCTAGATCACTAGTGGGACCAAAAGGGTTAACATGGGGGATTTCATTATATTATAATTATTAAAATTTTTTAAAATGTAACCAAAAAAAATGTGAAGAGAATCTGATGTTATCAGACAATGGAAAAACCTGTTGCTGGTTTATTATGTCTTTAATGTGTAAATGTTCATGGGAAATGCTTTTTTTTTTATTCAGTGAGGATACAGAAGTTTTCAAAGCTGATAGAAATAAGCTGTTTGCAAGTAATGAAAAGCAAACTGACAATCATACCTTAATGCTTGATATGCTTCGCTCAAACATGTCAGTTGTGTGTTCCTTAACTATTGTAGAGGTGTCTTTCTTTTGCTGTGGTTTGTGAGCCTTGGCCTCTCTTTGAGTCCAGCTTTGTTTATCCCCATTGCACCTGCCTAAAACCAACATCTACCAGAATCCTTTGAATAGTTGATACTAAGATAGAAAGAGGCCTCGGTGGTCAGCATTGAGTTTGGTCTTTTCTTGTGATAAATTTTGTAAACAAATGTGGGGTTTCTCTCATCAGAAACCCAGTACTTCTGACAGGTTCTTCGTGATTGGACAAAACATTTTCTTCACATGTGAAAATGTCATTTCTCTGATTTGATTGGCTGTAAACAGCTGTGAACGGCAAAAATATTTGACAGATCATAATATTTACGTAATGACTAAGTGGGAGGTCTGTGCATCATGATTGAGAGCCAATATTTTCCTTCCGCTCAAAACCTACTTTTGTCTCCTTGGAGCCCCTTAAAATCTTGCATGGTTATAAGTCAGCAGACACCCATCAGGAACCAAGGAGGGTTCACGTATTCAGTTACTGTTACATTACATGCAATAATAAGATACATGAAAAAGTTACTCAGTTCTGATTGGTTAAGGTAAATGCAGCTTTTAGATGATTCAGTTCAGAAGAGGGTTTATTTAGTGCAAAGATGTAACAAACCAGACTAAACAATTCCTTGAAATGTTTAGCCGGACTTTGAATTTTTTTGTGCCTTAAAGATGGAACAATATCATTGATTGTATATTATGGTTTTGGTTGTATGCAGTTGTTTTGACTGAATGCAGAATGTCATTTGCAAGCTTTGAATATAATTATTATTTTTGCACTTGATGCACACACTTTGCATCTGCTTAATTATGATAAGGTATCTCTTTTTTTTTCCATGTATATTATTAATATGTAATCACGTAGTTTTCTCCTGCAGTTTGGAATAAATAAGCACAAGTAAATTTTTTCAAAGACCACAAATTGCTCATGCCCTCAGGCTCGTGCAATTTTATTAGTCTTAGAAAAAATTTACTCATGCTTATTTATTCCAAACTGCATTTGAAATCATGTGATTACCCATACTTCTTAATGATTTTCTGTTTATGGCATGTGCTTAACAGAAGAAAAAGTGGTTATGATGCAATCTTACTGTAAATCAGACTCACCAAAATATCAAAAAGGCCAAGATGGTTCTTGTAATGGTAGAAAATCTCTTCCGGTTTTAGATTTCAAATTAGAATTTTCTCTTATTCTTCCCCCTTTGTATTCTTTAACAATTGGTTCATACATCAGCATGCATTCATCGAGATATGAAGCATGTGGAAAGTTTGTAGGGCACGAAAGATGCGTAAGAGCTCTTGAGCTTCCTCTCTAGCTTCTTGAGTGCTCTCCAAACTTCCCAAGTGCTTCATATCTCAATGAACGCACAGCTGACACATGAACCAATTGTTTTGTAACATTTTCAACCCAATGGTTTAAATGTTGTAAAAGGGTTAATATTCCCTCTGCTATGCTTCATTGCATTGATAATTCTGTTTTGGAAAAACATTTTGCTACACTGTAAATGATCTTGTCTTAGATTGGTCAAAAAATTGGCAGGTGAATTCATGCATGTAAATGAACTTTATTTTCTGATTGAATACAAAATTCTTTGACGGATTTGTTTGCTGACATCATGAGCATGCACAATAGGAATATGAAGCACACTCATGCAATTGAATTTGATCAGACAAATTTACTAGCTATGTTATAAAATGAATTAATTATATGGCAGCGAGTAAGGGAAATTTGCATTTTCATGTTGGTTTAATTCTTGGCTGGTTTAAAAGGCCCAGGCATTAAATATATGCCAGGCATAAATTGACTTCACTAATTTAACAGCAGTATGTTTCACATAATTTTCAACAGTGTCACACTTAATATTATGAACTTTTACTTCTTTTTTTTTGTCAAATAGACTTCTGTCAAACATGCATAACAGACAGGGTCTTGTTTCTGCTTGCATGGTTCATTTAAAGATATTCATCAAAGAGGAGGGAAATAATTTGATGTAATGTTCTAAATAGTTTGCCCAGGTAACATGACTTGTAAACCAATTGAAATGAAGGAATTTTAATTGCCTTTGGGTAATTTTAATTGAGCTCAATCAGCTGGTACAGAATTTTCAAAATTTTTTCCATTCATAACCCAAAATTATTTAATTTGAATTAACTGAGAGGGAAAGGTCACAACTTGGAAAGGTTTCCTCCAAACTTGAGTTGTGTTGATTTGTTCTGTATGTTTAAATTTATTTGATTTTTAGGGTACTCTGAAGGACGGAACACAATTTGATGGCAGTATCCCTTGAGGAGAACCATTTGTGTTTACATTAGGAGTGGGACAAGTTATCAAAGGTGGATACTTGTGATATAGCATGCATGGCTATGTGCAAAATGGGCTGATAATTGTAGTTTGCTGTGCTACTATGCATTTAGGCAAGTGATTGCACTTTCTACTGGTTTAGCAATGAATTGGCCCAATTGTGGGAAGTGGGGAGAAGGCAAGAAACATTTGGACATCACGAGCTTATGGGGATCTATTACTTTAATTCATAAACAAGCATTGGGTTTGTTGGTTTGATAAACTTTAGGTTTCTGAATGATTATAGTTAACTTGGTTCGTCAAACATCTCATATGGTTTTTTTTTTCCCAACTGTTTTATTTTATAGTCATTTGTTATAAGGCAGAACAAAGCAAATAGAGGAGTGGTTTGCGACAGGTCTTGTAATGTTCTTGTTGGATTACATTGTAAAATAACCAACTGTCCAAAGAGCTGTGCAATTTCACATGATATTTGTACTCAATTTGTGTGTTATTTGTACTTTCTGAGGGCAGCTGAATAATAATGTAAGATGGTGTATATTAGAAGTGTTTTTACTATTTAATAAGTCATGATTTAATTTTATTACAGGATGGGATCAAGGACTATTAAAGTAAGTTAAAACTATAGACCATTCATCATTGTTTCTAAGTCTTATTATACACAATAAATTCCTCTCTCCACTTTACTTAGGTTTTCAAACTACTTCCTCAAACTTTTAAAGAACTGTACAGAACTGTACCAAAAAGTAAACTGTGAAAAGCAAGCTTTTGAACTTTGTTGTTCCCTATTTTTGATTTTGTTAAAGCTGGGGTGAATTTTGCAGTATAAGTGCCAATGCATAATGAGTCATGGATAAGTGGTCTGGATTTAGTAGTCAGGTGTAAGAGAATTTCTGGCCGGTGATTCAATGTTGAGTGTGCAAGCATGAAGTGCCAAGCATTGTGCGCACGACTTGGCAGGCATAGATGTATCTGTACTTAGAACCTGACTTGTTATTCTCTGGGGGGTCTATTAAATCAACTTTTTTTGCTCTCTCTACTTAAAGCTAAGGCTGAAGAGAACCTGAACAGTTATTAGTAAACTGACTTCAAACCATTCAGCAAATGTGGAACTAGCAGCAAACATAAAATTCTTTTTACATTATTTAACCTGTTCAATTACTTCTGGACATTAAATTACAAAACATTAAAACCAACCTCTTTGGAAGTCTTTTTTATGCAATCTTGAAAAGCATCAGTTGATTAGTTAACAACTTGAAATACTGTTATTGCTAAAATTTAAAAAACTATGAAATATTTCTAGTCAGTAGAGTTAAGCCAAAGAGTTGTCATTTGATTTGGTATTGTTTTAGCGTACAAAATATAATCTTACATTTTTAAATGGGTACTTGAGTAGTACAACAACTGACAATGGCCAATGAAAAAGAGATTCAAGAGAATAGGGTCAGCTGGGAAGAGCTGAGGAGGAAAGGGAAGGAAAGGCAACAGTGATGTTCTCTTTTTATGATCATATATGTGCCTTAGGGCATGATGGGGACAGGCTGACTGACATATTGTATAGTTCCTGTAGTTCTTTTTGGTGCCCAGCTACCAGCTTTTCTGTTTTAACATTTTGTTGTTACTTACTCAAGGTATAATTAAACTTGTGGTTGTTATTGTTCATTAAAACTTTTTTGTGTTGTTTTTAGTATGTGTGAAGGAGAAAATATTTAAGTATATAATTTATGTCCAATGCAATGAATAATAGTTGCAGCTATACTAGTAGGATTGATAACAGGACAACTTACCATGCTTGAACTGTAAGCTTATACAGATAATTACTTTATCTGTTACATACTAGCAAGCTGGATAACACAAGAATTTTAGCAGTCTTATTGAAGTAATTTTCAGCTATTTTTGCTATACTCAGAGGATTTTTCTCTCTTTTGTGCAGGTTATGGGGACAGAGGAGCTCCTCCTAAGATCCCAGGTGACTTAGCAGCTTGTGGTCAACAGAGACAATGCTGAGTCAGAGCATTACATGAACACTTGCGCTATTGATGCCAACCTCTGAAATTGTGAAATATGGAGAGATTCGATTTTGAAGTATGGCATCAAAGCCACCCCACCCACCTCCCCCACAGATTTGTTCATCGACACTCTACCAGCCTCTTCTCACAGCCTGCAAGTCACTAAATTGGATGCACATAATCTGACAAAAAAAGGAAAAACCACAAAACTACAACTATCTTATTTAAGGAATTATTTAAGTATTAATTGCTCTTAATTCATATTGTCTACACTCTTAAACTATTTATTTAACTTAAGGTCACCAGAGAAATTTGAAGTAACCATGGTAATGCAAAACACAGGGCGACAAACCAAGTGGTTTATGAGCAATTGTAAAGTGGCAAATAAAAATTCCTTAACACTTTGACCCCTAAAAGTGATCAGCATCTAATATCTCCCTTTAGTATACGCCACACAGGTGAACTGTACTTTTCACACGCATTGATTGGCTATTTGGAAGTGAATAGCAAGTACTAATCACCTTCCAGCAGCCGATGAGACAAAATTGCACGTCAAGGGTTTAATTTCTGACCATTTTTTGGTATATTGAAAGAAACAAACTAAATTTTTGGTATCTGTGTGGTACCTGCTGAAACAATTATTTGCCTCCACTTTTGTGAATAATTATTAAATAATATCAGCCCTGAGTCAGACATTAAGGTCACAAGAATAAAGGAAATCACCAACTAAAGAAGCTTTTGATTGTTAGACAAAATTTTTCCTTTTAACACCCTTGGAAATGTAGAGTGAACAGTGTGGAAAATACCCATACTGATGTTAGGCCAGTTAAGGTGTAAGGGGTTCTTTCCTTGTGGGATACATGAAGGGCTTCTTCAATCATATTCCGGCATGAACTTGTTTCCTCAAAACGCAACTTAAAATGAATGTACGCCAATTATTTTATATTTTCAGGGAGCGCTACACTGGTATTTGAGGTTGAGCTGTTGAAGATAGAGCGAAAAACAGAATTGTAGTCAGATCTTGAGCACCATATAGTGTGAAGGAAATCTTTTGATGTCAGAACTTTTTGAAAATAAAACTGTCTTTTAGAAAATCATAGAATACTTTCTGTTTATGTTAATTTAGGCTTCATGTTTTTTTATTTATTTATATTTTCGGGAAAGGAAGGTTTTTGATTAACGAGAAAAGCGTTTTTTGATTTTGTGGGTAGAAAGTTGTTGGTTTTTGGGCATATCTCTAGCACAGAATGTGTCCCCATATTTCAAACTTGAATTTTTTTCCCACCTGCTCGTCGAATAGACTTCCTGTTGACCTTTTTAAGTCAAGGGTTTGGATTGCTACGATTTTTCTTAGAGGAACCGATCATACCCGAAGACTCCAAGAGTTCCTACTTCAAGTAAGGAGAATTTGGCGCAATCATTAAAGCGCGGTGTTGTCAAGTGCCTTTAAAAGCGCCTTTACAAGCGCCTTGACCAGCCCCTTTACAACCATGTCCTGGTGGGGCTCCAAATGACCGTTTAATCTTAAAATATCCATTTAGTGATTAGAACCCCTAGCCAAGTTTACATGTAAAATTTAAGCCAAATCAGTAAATCTGCCTGTCCGGCCAGCCTCTCGTTTTGTAATTGGACAATTAGTTTAAACAGCGTGTTCATGAACACTTTATCGCGTTCAAACGCATAGGAAAAAACTGTCGTAGTATTGGTAATACTAGGATTAAATACTGGAATGGCCTTAAAAAATTCTGCCGTTTTAATTTCAACAAATCTGATGTTCGTGACACAAGAACTAATTATAACTAGGTAAAATTCCTCCAAAAGTTAATTACAATTTCCATTCGACTGAAACTAAGATAATCGAAAAATCAAACGACCAATTATTTTTCAAGTTCTATGGAAATCTTTACACGTGCATATGGCTGTAATAGCCTTATATAAACCTTAAGGCAAAACTGATTGAAACAATCTTATGTTCGTGACACAAGAACTAATTATAACTAGGTAAAATTCCTCCAAAAGTTAATTACAATTTCCATTCGACTGTAACTAAGATAATCGAAAAATCAAACGACCAATTATTTTTCAAGTTCTGTGGAAATCTTTACACATGCATATGGCTGTGATAGCTTTATATAAACCTTAAGGTAAAAACCGATTCAGAAAAAAAAATGTAAAAACCATTTTGGGAGAACGTTTTCAAGGTGTTGCAACTTGAACGTGAATGTAACACCTAAAACTTGTTTATAGATAACATCCTCGTTCATTTCAGATAAAAAAAAATGTGATGATGATTTCAGTACATCATCAATTAAAAAAAATTACTTCTAAGCTAGTTCGATCAATAATTCATTAAAAATCAAAACAATGCAAAGTCCTTTTTCTTCTGCGTCTCCAAAATCCTTATAGTTCATAAGAGCATTCAAGACAAGTGGAGAGTCAACTTTTGAAAAAACAGAGATCCGTATGGGCTCCTGAAGGCTCTTTCGGTTCTCCCTGCTCTCACAAGAGGACTCTTACAAAAGATTTTGTAGGTAGCCTTGTGGTTTCTGCTCCAAATATCAACACTTGCGGGCAACTTTTTACTTTGTTGGGTTTCGTCTTTTCTATGATACAGCTCCAATTCTCACTGCCTTAACTGAAAAGTAAAAAAAGTCATAATTCAGGGAGAATCGTCGAGATCATAGAAAATTTTTCATTCGGCCTTGCGACATGAAACGATAAACTGCCCAACAATTATTATAGCAGAAAACTGTTTTTTACTCCTATCAAATTATCTAAGAAAAAGTCCGTGTCCACTCAATTTAAAAGCATCTCAATTTCCTCGGGAAAAAAAGAAACTTCTAAACTCTACACAGCAAGATAGCAAAAAAAGCATTTATGATTAATATATGTATCTATAATTTGGATTTAAAGTTACTTTGTAGCGCATCAAGGTACGAAAAGAATAATTACATGGATCAGCAACTAAATGTCGTTGAAATCAAGTTTGACGTCATCACCAATGAGTTCAAATGGTGCCCAGTACTTCACCTCCTTGAAGGTTTCGGACTCTCTCAAACACTTCATGGCCTGATTGAGAGCTTCACTTGCCCTCTTGCCTTTAGCAAGTGCATCGTAGAAGAAACTCATGAACTCCAGGGTTCCCTCGTCTGCAATCGCCCACAAGGTTACCACAACAGATCTAGCGCCAGCACCCAAGAATGCTCGGGCGATGCCAACCACACCCTCAGCCATGACCTCCCCACGAGCACTGTGACAACAGCTTAGAACAACCAGTCGCGCCCGCAGCCCAGCTTCCATGACATCTTTCATCGTCAGTAGATAGTCCTTCTCTTGAGGCTGAGGGGTTTCTCTTGTGGTGTTTGGTGCCAGGATAACTTCCCCAGTTTCCATTTTACCATGTGCTGCTATGTGTACTAAAGCCACTGATGAAAGTCGTTTCAACACTTCATCTTTTGTTGCCATTTCCCCAATGAGGGGGGAAATGTTGAGAATTCGTCCAATCATCTCCGCTTCTCTCCTTGCTCCAGGAAGTTGCACCAACCGTCTTCCCTGATAGATGATCTCTTTGAAACATGGGTCGCCAACAAGCAATGCACCGCTCTTCATGTGAAATTCAGCTGGGCAATCATTGATTAGTTGTAAGGTCGTCAGGGACGGAAGCACGCGAATTGTGACTAAATCACTCAGATAAGTTGACTTCGAGTCCTCCAATGCTGAATAAGGCACAAGACAAAATGGTCCCTCAGGAACAACTGTAAGCTCGTTACCTTCGATCAGATCAGCAATAGGAGTAACGATGATGTCATAAAGCTTCTGTAGAGCACTTGATTGTGAGTACCTCACGTCAATTTGAATCATATCGTTTGCCACTTCCGCCGCTTTCGGCGAGTCATGGGAAGGATTTTCGCATTTAACAGCATCTCTTGCATCGATCTCCTTCAAGGCAATTTTGTTCAGTTGCTCGATGAAAAATTCCAATTCCCTCTGATACTTATAATTGTTGACATGTACCTTTCTCAACTGGACATTATCGTCGCTAAGGAAAACCCAGTAGTAAACGCACGGTCCACTGATAGCCATGAAGACTGTACCTAATGGAACAAAACTCAGGGTAAGGAATGAGCCGCTGTTCCTTGAAGAATCTCGGGGCTGATATTTTGTGTCAAGCAGATCTTTCAGAGCTTGCGCACGTCCTTTTTCTGCGGCAAGAAGAGCGTTGAGAAAGTCATTTTGAATTAGGTTCATACGCCACAAGCCTGTGTATGCATCTTTATGCTGATTACGATAAGAAATCTTCCACTGATCGTTCAATTGCAGACCGGCCCTGATACTATCAAACGCCTCTACACATGAGTGAAAGCAATCAAAGGCCCTCTTGAGATTTCCTAGGGACTCAAAATTCATTCCAAGAGAACAGAGCGAGGATGCCTCTCCGGCCTTGTCTCCCACTTCTTTAGCAATTTCTAGATGACGTTGATGGTAATCGATTGCTGTTTTGAACTGTCTTAGACCACCATAAGCGCAGCCGAGATTGCCATAGCTCTTTCCCTCTCCGGCCTTGTCTCCCACTTCTTTAGCAATTTCTAGATGACGTTGATGGTAATCGATTGCTGTTTTGAACTGTCCTAGACCACGATAAGTGCAGCCGAGATTGCCATAACTGTTTCCCTCTCCGGCCTTGTCTCCCACTTC